TTTCTCTCTGTCTCTCTCTAACTCTGCCTGTCAAAAAAAAAAAAAAAAAAAGAAAAGAAAAAGGCAACTTTGTCTCTTCCTTTCACATAAATAAAAATAAATTTTTAAGGGGCAAAAACTTTGAAGAGGCATTTCATAAAAGGATACCCAGGGACAGGCCTTGTAGCATAAGAGGTTAAGCAGCCGCTTGCGATGGTGGCATCCCATACTGAAGCACCTCTTTGAGTCCTGGTTACTCTACTTCCTACACTATTTCCAATTCAGCTTCCTTTCTAATATGCCTGGGAGCCCAAGCGCTTGAGTGCCTGCCATGGATGTGGGAGATCAGGATGGAATTCTGGCTCCTGGCTTCAGCCTGGCCCAGACCTGGCTGTTGAGGCCATATAGAGAATGAATCATCAGATGGAAGATTATCTGTCTCTATCTCTCCCTCTCTCTGTCACCTTGCCTTTCAAATAAATAAATATCTCTCTAAAATAGAAGATATCTAAATGCCAATAAGTATGTAAAATTATCACTCCCTAGGAAACACAAATTAAAATCACAAGGACCATGGCACCTCCATTGGGATAGTTTTTTTTTTAAGACTTATTTATTTATTTGATAGAGTTACAGAGAAGCAAAGGCAGAAAGAGATCTTCCATCCCCTGGTTCACTCCCTAAATGGTCACAATAGCCAAAGCTGGGCCAATCCAAAGCCAGGAGCCAGGAGCTTCTTCAGGGTCTCCCATACAGGTTCAGGGGCCCAAGGACTTGGGCCATCCTCTGCTACTTTCCCAGGTGCATTAGCAGGGAGTTGGATCAGAAGTGGAGCAGCCAGGATTCGAACCGATACCCAAATGGAATACCAGCACTGGAGGCAGCAGCTTTTACCCACTATGCCACAGTGCTGGCCCCTGGATGGTTATTCTTAAAAATATATGTTTATGAAAGGGAGATTGACAGAAAGGAGAGACAGAAGAGAGATCTTCCATTCACTAACTCATTCCCCAAATTCCAATAGCCAGAGCAACACAGGCCAAACCCAAGAATCAGGATCTCCATCCAGTTCTCTCATATGGGTGTCAGGAACCCAAATACTTGAGCCATTATCCATTGCCTTCCTGGTGCATTCACAGGAAACTGGATCAGAAGCAGAGGAGGGGGCAGGTGCTGTGGCGTAGTGGGTAAAGCTGCTGCCTGCAGTGCCAGCATCCCATATGGGCGCCAGTTCAAGTCCCAGCTGCTCACTTCTGTGGCCTGGGAAAGCAGTAGAAGATGGCCCAAGTCTTTGAGCCCCCGCACTTTGTAGGAGACCCAGAAGAAGCTCCTGGCTCCTGGCTCATGGCTTCTGATCGGTACAACTCCAGCCGTTGCCGCCAATTGGGAAGTGAACCAGTGGATGGAAGACCTCTGTCTCTCTCGCTGCCTCTCCTTCTTTCTCTGTGTAACTCTTTCAAGTAAATAAATAAATCTTTTTTTTAAAAAAAAAAGCAGCAGCAGAGGGGACAGGACTGGAACTATGGGGTACGTGTGTCCTAAGCAGTACCTTAACCAGCTGTACCACAATGCCCACCACTAGGATTGTTATTCTCAAAAAAAAAAAAAGTTGGGCTAGCATTGTGCTACAGTGGATTAAGCCACTCCCTGCAGAGCTGGCATCCGATATGAGAACTGGTTCAATTCCTGGCTGTTCCACTTCCAATCCAGCTCCCTCCTAACCACCTGGAAAAGCAGTGGAAGATGGCTCAGGTTCTTGGGCCCCTGCACCCACCTGGGAGGCCTGAATGGAGTTGCAAACTCCTAGCTTCAGCTTGACCTAGTCCCAGCCATTGTGGCCATTTGGGGGAGTGAACTAGCAGATGGAAGATCGATCTCTCTCTCTGTAACTACCTTTCATGTAAATAAATTAAAAAACAAGTTGCTGAGGGTGTGGAGCAACTGGAACCCTATATACTGCTGGTGGGAATGTAAAATGGTGCAGTCACTATTGATGGTACAATAGTCCCTTACAATACTAAAGCCAGAATTGTCACATGAGGTTAGCATTTGATCTAGCCATTAAGATGCCCACTTCTCATATCAAATGCCTGGGTTCAATACTCACCTCTGGCTCTGACTTCAGCTTCCTGCCATGCCAATCCTGGGAGGTGGCAGTGTTGGATCAAGTAACTGGGTCCCTGCCATGCAGCGGGGAGACCTGGACTGAGTGAGTTTCCAGCTTCCCAGCTTCAGCCCCCAGCCTGGCCAGGGATCACTGTGGGCACCTGGGGAGTTAGATAGGAAACTCTCTCTGTCTATCTATCTCTCTGCCTCTTAAATAAATAAATGATTTTTTTAAAGAACAGAATTTTCATAGGCTGCAGCAATTCCACTTCTGAGTAAATACCCCAAAGAACTGAAAGCGGGATCTCAACAAGATAGTTGTGCACCCACGTTCAGAGCAGCATTATTCACAGCCGTTAAAGGCAAAAGTAACGCAAGTGCCCACTGACAGATGAATGGGGAAACAAAGTGTGATATAAACATACAATGGAATACTGCTTGGCCCTGGAAAGGAAATAAATTCTGACACGAGCTATACCATTAGTGAACCTTGAGGATGTAAGGGAAATAAGCTAGTAACAAAAAGACATATGGTATATTATCCCACTTACACAAGGTACCCAGAGTAGTGAAATTCATAGAGACAGAAAGCAGAGTGGGGCTGAGAAGGTGGCGGGGAAGGAGTAGGAGACAGGGCATTACTGTTTAATAGGGAGAGAGTTTCAGCTTTGTAAGATGAAAAGAGCTCTTGCCATGAATTGTTACACAACTGTGTGTATTCCTATGGCATTAGCCACTGACTGTGTAAAGATGAAAAAGATGGAAACTGTACATATGTGCATTTTACCAAAATGATCATTTAAAATTATTAATTTTCAAAGAATTTTTAAAACCACTATGCTCCCACCAAAATAGTTGAGATTCGAAAGATCAACAAAACCAAGTGTTAGTTAAAGGGCAGAACAACTGGAACTGTTGTGCACACAGGTGGAATTTAAATTGATGGGACCACTTTGGAAAACTGGCAATATCTACTAAAGCTAAATACATGCCTCACCGTATGACCTCACAATTCCACTGCCAGGTGTATGCCCAGAGAAATGAGTGGGCATGTGCACCAAAGGAAAATAAGCGAGAATGTCCATAGCTCCAGCTGCTTTATTCACAGGAGCCACAAACTGGAAACAATCCCCAAGTTCCAACAGGGAAATGGATAAACAAACTGCAGTAGGGCCACACAATGGAATTACCAATTACCACTCGGCAATAGATTAGAAGGAATTACCACTACACACAACCACATGGACATCACGTTACACAAAGGAGGACGCATACAAAACAATCCCCACTGTATATATAGTGTTTATATGGGGCTGAAAAGCAGACAAAACTAATAGATGGAGTTTTGTTTTGTTTTGTTTTTAAAGATCACCATGTGTTACCTTTATATCGGAGGTGAGAAGAAAACTGAACGGAAGGAGCAGGAGGAAGTTTTGTGAGGTGCTAGAATGTTCTGCACCTTGTGCCTCCATCACTTGGTGTATATGCACATTAACATTTAATTGAACAGGGCACTTGAATACAGGACACACTTTATTATATGATGTACCGCAAGAGTAAAATTAAGTCTCTCTAAAGTTCCTAGAATGTCCACAATACATTAGAATTGAATCAAAGATGGAATAAAATCTCCCACCTTGCTCTTTTCCTTTTCCGCTTAGAAGATGAGACCGTACACGTTTGGAGGTTGTTATTTCCCCATTTCCCGAGTCGGATAATGAGTCCAAGTGCCATGCAGGGCAAACCCACGGGATCCTGAATGTCCCAGAGCTAGTGAGGGCCTTTCAGGCTCACTACTTCCTCAGTCTGAGCTCCCAATTTGCTTTCTAATGATAAGTGTCCAATTGGATCTTTTCAGGCTTCAAGAACAGCACCCGACTTTGCTTTCCACCATCATTACTACGGGCTAAACAAATCCCTCCTCAGTTGTAAAGGCAGAATGTCAAAAATCACAAGGCATCACTACATTCCCGCATTGTGATGACCAAGACTACCCACCCCTGCCCTCACTCTCCCCAGCACCCCTGCAGCCCACTCCCAAAAAGAAAACTTTATTTCCTTCCATGGCCGCTTTGATGCCTGTCCCTGACACAGCCAACTGTGTAACTGTAGCTTCCCAGGAAAGTACTAATAGCTATGGCCCACCACTGTCAGGGAAGAAAATAAAAATCCAAAGAAAGCTGAACCCTTACTTCTAGTTTTCATAATAACGTGCTACCCACTTGTTGCAAAAAAAGTAAGTTAATTTGCAAAATCTTACATTTTAATGATATTCAGCAGCAAATTATGTTGAATTGTGTCACAAGGAGTAACTTTACAAACTTGATTATCTCTGATCTGCATATAACCAGTCCTCATTTTGGTCAGTAGACAACTTAGTGCGCCTACAAAAGCAGCCAGATAGTAGGAGAAAAATAAAGAGAAGGTTAAACGTAGCAGGGCTGGTTTGAAAGAAGATTCCAGAATACCTCTGCATTCTGATCAGTGTGAAGTCAAATTGAGGATGAGACACAGCTTTATTAAAACCAGGTTTTGGCTTCACAGGGTGACTCTGTCAAAATTATTCAGAACAACTGTCAGCTTTATACAGCTTCAGGAAAAAGTGTTTTGAAAAGCAAATATCAAGCAACAACTGGTTAAAGGCAAAGCCACACGGGGTCACAGCGAAAAAGCAAAGCTTCTCTTTTACAGCAGTCAAAAGCCATGCACTCTGCAATAGCATAATGCGGTACACACATTTAAATACATTGTCTGAAACAGACTACAATTATTTTGTCCTCTGAGGTTACCTCGAAATACACTTCACTTCATAAAAGTCTATATCAACGTCGAAAGATCAATGATGGCAGCAAGTGGGTTCATACTGCTGGAACGCAATCGTAAACTCGGAGAGGTGGATTAATTGTTCTACATACCTGCGGTTTTTCAGATTCTCGCACTTGCTTAACTCCTGTACGTTCAACTCTTCTCTTTCAGAAACCACTTCTGGAAGCTCCCGTTTTTGGCTTCTACACTGCCACCTGTAGGCACAAAAGGGAAATAAACCATCCAGGAGGCATGTAACAAGGACAATTAGGAGAAAAGTGGCAAAGTATTTGGTCTAAAAGACAAAAGTGTTCTTTTCGCTCTATGTGGAAAATGTGGGCGCCGTCCCTCTCCCCCTATGGCTAGACAAGTTCTTTGATTAGAGATAGAAACATCCAGAAGTCTCAAGTCGCCAACTCTACACGGCTCATATCAGTTTATAGAGACGGAGTCCCACAACCCAACTTACAGCCATTTCACGACCTGCCGCTTAAAATTTGATGATGACTTGGCCACTTTGCTAATCGGAGATGTAAGGATTCTGTACATTATCACAACGAAAAGAGAAGGGGAGAGAGCCAGGCTAAGGTTACTTTTTCACGAGGTCCTAAGACATCTATTGAAAAGAATAATTCTAACCTGAACTAGACGCTTGTGCAATCTAAAGAGCGGTTTGGCAGGGTATTTTCCTCATAATGCTCAATCCCCGATTTGAATGTAAAGGAAGAGTGCCAAGAGGTCTTTCTGACACCGGCAGGATTTTAATACAGGTAGGTCCTTCATCCTTAAAAGAGCACAAACAAACAAACAAACAAAGTCAGAGCAGTTATCAACAGTATAATAATAAAAATCCTTAAGCAACTATCAGCGAGTCCAAGCAGCCATAAGATGAGAGAGGGTTTCGGGCGGTCAGACTGAGACAGACAGAAACAGACGGACCCACCGACAAAGCGGCAGACAGACACGGAGATGCCAGAGTTAACTGAGAATAACAAGCTATGCCGCGTAGCTTTTTACCTCCTCTGAGTCCCACAGTTCAACCACGACAAGTGTCCGGCTCCCGCACCTTCAGCCAAAAACACAAGCATACCCCCCACTCCACCCCCACCCCCACGCCAAGGCGAAACCGCAGCGCCAGAAGCCACCACCGAGCGAGCACACCCGCCGGGCCCGCTATCCCGCAAACCCCGCGGCTTCTTAATCCCCGCCGGAGATCGGCCCCACTTACCCGGAATGTACTTTAACGCCCCGAGGGCCTGTTTGCGTTTTCAGAATTGCACCAAATCCAAGAAAAGCAAGTCTCCTTGAGACCCTCTCCTCCTCCCTAGGACGGACATTCCCACAACACTCTCCTCCCCCTCCCAACCGCGAACATGCGCTGGGCCAGCCCCAAAGGGTCTTTGGGGACCCGCCAGTGATCAACACTGCTCCCACGTGCCTCCATTAAACCGACGTGCAAACGTGCCCAAGGCGCCAAGGGCATTTGCTCAGTCAGCCCTCCGAAGGGAGTTCAGCAAACCCGTTGACCCCTCCACCCCCAGCCTGGTCCCCGAAAGCATTGAGGGCGCACCCGGGCACAAGCACCCGAGCCAGCACACAATACTCCAGCAACTCCAGCCTTCTCCGCACACGCCCCGCTCAGTCCTGCCACCACTCTCTCTCCACGCAAGGTCCCTACAGTCCCCGCGGGCCGGGAACAGGGGGCGTCCAGATTGCTGCCGGGTGTGAACTGGGAAGAGGGGGGCGACCTGCACACACCACCGAGATTGCGGGCGGAGAAGGGGGTCGCAGTCCTCCAAAACCAAATCCAGTTCCTAAGAAGGCGACCGGGTGGAGGTGGGGACGCTGAGACCCGAGGGAGTGACTCCTAAGGGAGGCAGCTTTCCCGCACCTCTTTCCCCACCTAGCACACACACGCGCGCGCGCGCACACCACGGGGCCATGCACCTTTCCCCTACCCCGGGACCTGCCGGCCCTAGTCCCCGAGCGCTGCGGCCTGGAAGGGACGGCATCGGGTCGGCGGCGGTCCGAGGAACCGGCAGTGCGCCGCGCTCGGGGTGCCCACCTGCGCGCAGGGTCGCCGCTGGTGCCGGTGCGCCTGCCGGTGCGCGGTCCCCGGCTGCGGGAGCAGGAGGCGACGGCGGCCAGACTCCTGGACCCCACGCGCCTCCTCGCTCGCCCGCAGCAGCGGTCCTTGTTTCCCTTGGTCGGAGCTGGCGAACAGCCCACCTAGCCCGCAGGTTCTGCCACCGTCGCTCTGCCCGCCAGAGCCCAAGCTGTCCTCCCCGCCCCTTTCCCGCCGCCCCGCGCAGCGCTCTGCTGCGCTCCGCCCCCCGCCCGCCCATCCCAGCCGGGGCCCAGTCGGGGGATGCGGGCCCCGCGCCTCGTGCCGCAGATCCGGGGTCCCAGGCGGGGCGGGGGTGGGGTGGGGGAAGAGAAGGGGCGGGCGGAGGATCCGCCCGGACCCCGCGATCCTAATCCACTCCCCACCCCCAGGGTCCGCGGCAGCTGCCCTCACTCAGGCGGCCAAGGGTGTGGACACAGCGCGCGCTGCCCCCGCTCTTCCGGCGTCTCTTCACTCCCCGCAAAGCACCTTCCATGGCCTCGAGGGTGCCTCGTGTTTTGGGGGGAGGGGGTCTGGGGAAGCGGGGTGGAGTGAGCGGCAGAGAGGAGGTGAAGATATTACCATGTCAACTGCTTTCAAGTTGCTGCCTGTGCCTTGTTTCTGTTGCATTAACTACCTGGATGTGCTGCTTCCCTTGTTAGAGCCGCAGTAATATTCAGAGGTATGAATATAAGCTTGCCAAGCTAATTGCTTGAAGGGTCGTTTCCTTTCAATGTCGTGATGGCAGAATACGACACATTCACTCTTTTTAAAAAGTTACTTTACGTATATGTTTAATAAATATAAAATCACATTTCTAATTTAAAAAACTAGCAAAATATAACTAACTGAACAGCTGTGTTGAACAGAAACAGATCAAGGGTGTGTGCGCTATTTAAACCCGCTGTAATTACATTAATTGGTTCGTTTTAAAGTGTATTTTAGGTATTTCCTAAAACGGGATCAGAACTGAGGGATTAGGAACCCCTGAGCATTAATCTGGCTTTTTGCCACAGTTCTAAAACGTCAATTTCATGGAAATTACTACATGTGGTTTGTTTAGAAAAATGGATCCTTTTTCTTCCAGGTTGGCAGCATTTTGAGATCTGGTAAACGACTTATTTTGTAAAAGCCAAGAAAGAATAAAATTCTCATTCATTTTCTGATGATGGAATATCTGGTCTGGTAGCTTTTTCTTTAGTGTTTGCCTCTTCGAGGCAAACTTCCTCTCTGCTTCCTCTTACATTTGCTTTGCTTTCTCCGAGATATTTGTTCCCCAGATGTAAGGAAAGTTATACACACCATGATTTTTGAGGCTTGGTTTTCTGAAAGGCGATAGGAAAATTAATTACAGTTAACTATCAAAGTCAACCCCAGGCTCATGTTACTAAATTTCACACTGAGTAACCCTGTTTTTCAGCTCAGCATTTAGCAATTTAGTCTAATACTTGAGAACCAAGAGTTTTCAAAATTTCATCCTTATGAGAATGAAGTGTACAATTTTTAATGAATGTTTTTGAACTGAAATTAAATTTATTAAATTGACTAATGAGAAGTATATTAGTACTGTATGTGTGGCTGGGGAAAGAAGGACAATGTGGATGACAAACAGTTCTGAAGAGGCGCAGAAGCGAAGAAAATAGTCCTTAGCATGAGCCCTTTTTCAAGGGAAGGATGACAAATGCCAGTAATTATGCAAAGAATGACTGCTGCCTCTCTTCTCTTTGCTTTGGTTTTGTGGCAAGGCCTGCATTTATCTCTTTTGATCATCACAATAAAAGTAAAGTAATTCAGCATTCCAGTGACATTGCTTAGTAAATTAGCAATTTGAAAATGCTTTTATTACCTAATTAATCCAAGTAAATGCCTCTGATAAATCGGGTTTTACTCTTACATTACACCCCCCCCCCTTTGGTGTGTGTGTGCCTCCAGAAAAGCATTTGCATGAAATAAAAACAGATAAAGCAAGCTCAAAAACAATTGCCTGCCAGATTCTTTTACGGGGAGTGGGGGATGAGTTTCAATAGAAATGATATTAAGTGACCTTTGGATCTTAAATTATAAATCAGGTATTGGTTATGAATTGCTCATTGGCTGCCTCTTTAATGAGTTCTTGTGTGTTTGCTTTGCTCTGTTTGTTCTTCGGAAGCATTTTTGCATTTCTTTCTGTCTGCCTTATTGAAGCCACCTTTGCCTAAACTGTTTTCCACAAACTTCCACCAAAGACTCAGAGCCTAATCCATCGCTTACTTGGCAATTATCTTTGTCCTTCAAGCTGGGTCTCCCTAGAGGTCTTTGGTAAGAATCCAGTGCGATTAAACGCTCACAATTGGAAAGAGTACTTCATCAGACACGGTTCTAACTGAGAGATAACTATCAGATTTCTCAAAACCAGGAGGGCGTGTCCTATTTGAATAAAAAGAAGAAAGAAACACAAAACAGCAAACCCATTTTGTTCAGGTCAAAACTAAGCCAACAGAATCACAATTGAAATCCTCTTAAGCCTGAATTATGCTACCAGAGATATGTAAAAAGTACAGCTCAAATAATTTTATCTGTATTTTCTTTCACCCCTTCAAATTTTGTGCTCCGCTGACCAAACACCATTACATTTCACATTTCCCTTTCAGTTCCTATGCTATTAAGAATTTTTCACTGATCTTTAAATAAAAAGTGCATTAGACACTCCCACTGCTCCCAAGGAATCCTGTGTCACTCTCCACTTGAATCCACAAGAATTCCCTTGCAATGTCTTTGGCATTGATAAGGACAGATCTGAACATCTCATAGAGACCCGAGGAAAAACAGAGCTCCAAGGACTGGCCCACATTGGACACAAACAAAACATAAATTTTCGTTTTAACAGTTTAATCCTCCTCCATCCCCAGCAAAAAAGCTGTATAACGGTTTTCCCTCTTGAGAAATTTTCTCCTGACAATTATTTCGATAGGTTTTTTGTTGTTGTTGTTCATTAACTCTTTGGGAGTGGGGGTGGGGGAGTGAGCCTGAACATCTACATAGACTTCTCTCCTTTCTTTCCTAGGATAACTGAGGATCGATTTACAGGGGAAGGGGGAGGTGATGGCTCAGCTCTTTTGTCAGTTTCCTCTTCTGACTCTAAGACAATCCATGAAGCAAGTTTCTTTACTTTGGTCGATTAGGATTAGTGAGCATCATCATTGATTCAAATTTGCAGAATGTCAATTACTTGAATTGGTCTCCTTGTGTTAGAGAAATATGTCACCAGTTACCTCACAAGCCAGTGAAGATAGCGACTCCACCACCCATACAATGTTCAGGTTGAAATGTTGGTGCTCTGAGTCTAGTTACTTAAAAATATGTGTATATATATGTGGATGTGAATGTATAATTCTAAGCTAGCTGTAATTTTGAATGCTTACAGGAGATCCTTCAGTCAAGAAACCTTTGGAAAACTATCTCTTAGGGTTTTGGGATATGTGATAAACTGAAGAATACATTACTATCTACCTCACTCTCAGGCAAATATCTTTTTCTGATTCTGCTCTCCCTAGAAATCCTCAACACCGTGTAACCATATCACTCCAAGGTTAATGAGAAAGAAAAGAAAGGAAGTGAGGAAGAAAGAAAATGCAGTGTGATAGGATGTAGTGTAACTGATAAGCACATAAAGTTAATAAGATCATGGTTTCCTTCTGCTGTGGACTATTTTGCTTTGTTTTGTTCCATGAGGGTCAAGCAAAGCCCTATTCCTAGAAAGGGACAGATGTTTTATTGGTCATCAGGTGTTTGATGGCAATTATGTCCCCTAAAAAGTGTGCCGAAGCCCTACCCCATGGTGCCTATGAATGCACCCGTATTTGAAAAGAGGACCTCTGCAGATGTGATTAAGAGGTAAGTTAAGATGAAGTCATATTAGAATGGAATGGTTCTTTAATCCAATGCGGTTGATCTTTTCACAAGACACCCAGACGCAGAGGGATATTGGCCAGGTGAAGATGCAGGCAGAGGTTGAAGTTATGCTGCTACAGAGCAAGGAGTGCCTGGGACTACCAGAAGCCAGAAGAAAAGAGAAAGGATCCTCCCCTAGAGGCTTTGGAAGGAGCATGGCCCCACCAATACCATGATTTGGCAACTTGTAGCTATGAAATAATCAGTTTCTGTTGTTTTTAGCTATCTAGTTTGTGGTACTTTGTAGTCCTAGGAAACCAGCATACCAGGGAATCATCAGGACTCTTGGTGACACAAACTCACCATCTTCTTTACCCAGCAGAGAATCCTGACATGTTTGAAGAAGCTTGGAGATTTTTATCTTCCTTTGAAATTATGCGATATGTAGGTAGATTGAGTGCAGGGTGGAGTCCTCTGCATACATTGTGCCCCTTAACACTCAAATATGCCCCATGGAGTCAATTCCATCTCTCGTACTCAAGTTGTAATAGCTTTCTCCCTGTTAGCCTTGAAAGTTTTGGTCTTTGGTAGTTGCAGATTGCAATATAAGTCAGTCTGGAAGACTTCTCAGACAATTCACATCAGTTCTTTTTTTAAGATTTATTTAACAGGTAAAGTGATAGAGAGAGAAAGGGAGACAGGGAAAGACAGATAGCTTCCGTCTACTGGTTCACTCCCCAGATGGCCAAAATGGCTGGAGCTGGGCCACCAAGCTGGAACTCCAGACAGGTTTCCCCGCTGCTTTCCCAGGTGCATTAGCAGGGAGCTGGCTGAGAAGTGCAGCAGCTGAGACTCCTCACCCGTGCTCCCATATGGAATACCTTTGTCCCAGGCAGTGGTTTAATCTCCTGCACCACAATGTAGGCCCTCACATCAGTCCTTGACTTGAATATTTATCCATTTGTCTCTCTGTCTTTTACTTCCAATTGCCTTGTAAAATGTGAGCTCACTAAATAGCCTCCACGAATATCTGCCAATTTAACTGAAAATGGAGATTAGCAGGTACCAGAAAAAGAAC